CTTAAGGTTGCTTTGGCTATTCGGGGTCTTTGTAGTTTCGTACAAAGCATAGAATTATTTTTTCTAGATCTGCAAAAAATATGACATCAGTATTTTAATGGGAAAATTGCATTTAATCTGTAAATCACTTAGGGTAATATAGACATTGTAACAAAGTGGATTCTGCCGATCCATGAGTATGGTACATTTTTCCATTTGTTTACATCCTCTGCAGTTTCCTTCCTCACTGTTTTGTAGTTCTCCCTGTAGAGGTCTTTCCTCTCCTTGGTTAAATATATTCCTACGTATTTTATTTTCTTTGTTGCTGTTGTGAATGGTTTTCAGCCTTTGATTTGATTCTCAGCTTGATGGTTGTTGGTGTATAGGAATGCCACTGGTTTGTGTACGTTGATTTTATAACCTGAGACTTTGCTGAATTTATTTATTAGTTCCAGGAGTCTTTTTGCAGAATCTTTGGGATTTTCTAGATGTAAGATCATTATCATCAGCAAAGAGTGATAGTTTGACTTCTTCTTTCCTCATTTGGATATCCTTGATTTCCTTCTCTTGCCTGATTTCTCTGGCTAGGACTTCCAGCACTCTGTTGAAGAGAAGTGGTAATAGTGGGCAACATGGTCTGGTTCCAGTTCTAAGTGGGAATGCTTTTAATTTTTCCCTGTTCAGTATTATGTTGGCTGTGGGTTTCTCATATATGGATTTATAATATTGAGGTATGTTCCATCTATGCCTGTTATATTAAGAATTCTTATCATAAAAGGGTGCTGAATTTTGTCAAATGCTTTTTCTGTGTCTATTCAGAGGATCATATGGTCTGTGTTTTTACTTCTATTTATGTGGTGAATTACATTTATAGATTTGCTTAGGTGAACCATCCCTGCATCTCTGGGATGAAGCCCACTTGGTTGTGATGGATGATGTGCAGCTGAATTCAGTTTGCGAGGATTTTATTGAGAATTTTTGCATCTATAATCATAAGGGATATTGGCCTCTAGTTTTCATTTTTTGTTGTGTCCATTCCTGGCTTTGGTATGAAGGTGATATTGGCTTCATAGAAAGAGTTGGGGAGGATTCCTACTTTGTCGATGTGGAATAATCTCTGCAGTATAGGCAGCAGTTATTCTTTGTAGGTCTGACAAAATTTGGCTATGAAACCATCGGGTCTGGGACTTTTTTGTTCTTAGAAGATTTTTCATTGCTACTTCAATTTTGTTGCTTGACATCGATCTGTTCAGGAGTTCTGTTTCTTCCTGATTGAGTCTAAGGAGGTTGTGTGTTTCCAAGAATTTATCCATTTCCTCAATGTTTTGAAATTTATGTGCGTAGAAATTCTTATAGTATTCAGAGATGATATTTTGTATTTTTGTAGTATCAGTTGTAATACCTTCTTTTTTCATTTCTGATTAAGCATATTAGGGTCCTTTCATTTCTGTTTCTGGTTAACATAGCAAGAGGACTGTTGATTTTGTTCACCCTTTGAGAGAACCAACTTTTTGTTTCATTAGTCTTCTGTATAATTCTTTTGTTATCAATTTCATTTAGTTATGCTCTGACTTATATTATTTCTTTCTTTATTGTGCTGATCCGTGTATAATGCAGTTCTGAGTTGGAAGACACTATGATGAACTGTAGCATTGTTCTCCCTGTCTTTGGTTGATGTTTGTGTGATAGAGCCAACTACTGAGATGTTCTTTTGTGTCCGTGGTAGACTGGTCCCCCAGGTGGAATACTTGAGTGCTCCAAACTTTGGGAGGCACCCTGTGGCTCCCAGGGGGTTTCTTGATCTCCACTACCACTCGGAACTAAAAAAATTTTTTAACCCCTTTAGGATAGAGCTGTTGTTAAAATACTTGTTAGACCAATACATATTTGATTTTCATATTTTCAGTAATGTGTTACGAGTAAAAGTGAAGATTTCCCTATGTAGGAACTAACTTATGAGTCTGTAATACTCATTGTTCTCCATCCAATAGACACATATCCCAAAATTCTTTGGTAAGAACACTTAACATGAGATCTACTCTCTTCACAAAATTTTAAGTGTACAATACATTATTTTGACTTTTGGTTCAACATTGTATAGCAGATGCCTAGAGCTTATTCATCCTGCTTACCTGAAACTTTATGCCCCTTGATTAATAATTCCTTATTTCCCTTTGCCCAGCCCTTGGGAACTACCATTCCACTCTTTGATTCTATGAATTTAATTATTTTAGAAGTGGAATCATGCAGTGTTCGTCTTTGTGTGACTGGCTTATTTCATTTGGTATACTACCTCCAGGTTTTTGTCCATGTTGTCCTGTGTCGCAGAATTTCCATATTGCTGAATAGCATGTATATGCCATTGTATGTATATACCACATGCTCTTTATTCATTTTTTATGGACATTTAGGTTGTTTCCACATATTGACTGTTGTGAATAGTGCTGCAATGAACATGAGAATACTAATAATCTGTTTGGGATCCTGCTTTCAATTCTTTTGGATAAATGCCCAAAAGGTTGCTCGTAGTTCTAGTTTTCATTTTTTAAGGACCCTCAATACTATTTTTTTTGAGGAACCTCTATACCATTTTCTATAGTAGTGACATTTTTCATTTCCACCAACAATTTACGAGGGTTCTAACTTCTCCACACCTTTGCCAATACTTGTTTTCTTTTGTTTGATAATAGCTCTCCTGATGGATGTGAGGTGGTATCTCATTGTAGTTTTGATTTGCATTTTCATGATGACTGTAAAAAGTTTTAATTCTATGTGATTTTTAAAATGTTACACAAATAATTGAAATTGGCCCACCCCCCAAACCCATGTGTTATAATTGTTTTCAGAATTGTATATGGACAGT